AGTTGACAGTCGGCTGAGAAATATTTGCCACTCATTTCATCCATCAATTGATTTATGTATCGATCACTCGAACACATCCCGCGATCGCAACATATTATTGTCAAACACAATAAACCCATCAATGATTTCATTATACTTTTACTATTTCTGGGATATTATCTCAAAATTGATTTTATACTGTTTATATAAATAGCATTGAATTTAAATTAATGATTGGTTTCATTTAATAATAAATTTAAAAATTCTCGCACTTTGAATACAAATTGAAACTTTCAAAAAATATTTACTACAAAATCAAAAATTAATTCAATCATAAAAACAGATCAAAATTCAAAGCAAATCCCAAAAGTGATGAATAAATAAAGCAAAACAAAGAGTCGATCAATGAATACATTGTCTTTCACTGGAAGTGATGTCTTATGCGATGACATATTGGGACTCATATTAAGTGAGTTATCAATCAAAGAGTTGTTTCGTTTGCAACGAGTGTCGCAACAGTTCCGCGATTGCACTCAAGAAGCGCTTCGGAGGAGACAAAGTGTGGCCATTGGATTCAGCAAAACTCGTGAGGATATAAAGGATGTGTTTATCAAATCCATCGTTGGATCTATTGATCTGAAGGCCAGTGATATTAGTTATAATGGGTTTATAAGCAAAGACATCGATGACAACGATTCAATGCTCAAGAAGTTACCACGAGTTCACAAACTGTATATAAAGAATCTTATATTTAGATTTGACACAATACAAGTCATTGTCAACCATTTGCCACTTCTTCGGGAGATATATGTCTTTAATTTCGCTTTCGATGCCATTGAGAGGAATAAATACACGTCCAGACAATGGGCACAACTGTTGGCTAATATCACACACATAACCATCGGTGAAATTGATGACAAAGACGCCACACTTATGGCACACATCATATCACAGTTGATATCACTTAAAAGTCTTGAGATCTATTATATGTCTGTCGACAGGGATCTACTCGTGGATTGTTTGCCGCCAAACATCCGGTCACTGAAAGCGATGGGGAATACGTTTGACACGCAATCCATCGAAAGTTTGACCACAAAATGTCAACAATTAGAAGAATTATCACTTATTTCTTTCGGCGATAAGGGCTTTGATTTCAATGCAATGAATTATTTCAACCAATCGTTTGTCATTATCTGCGACCGTCTGAAGAATCTTAAGAGATTAACGGTTCGGTTGACAGAGATTTCCAGCGAAGTATTTACTGAAAACATCGCAAAGTTATCAAACATAAGACATTTGGAAATCATGTTTCCATTATCTGATCCGATGGTCTTCAACACGACATCAATGACACCATTGACTACTATTCGGTCACTCAGTCTCTCCGGTATTAAATGCTCACCAGAAATGTGGTCACAATTGGCTAAAGTAGTGCAAAATTTGCGTCGATTATCCCTCAATGCCATCAATTGTCACATCGATTGCATCACATCAATAGATCCCGAAGAAGAGTGTTTCAAGAAATGCTTTCATAGATTTATGACTTCAGTGGCAAATCACCCAAAACTCAGAGCACTGACACTCGGACCGCATATGTCTTCGTCTTGGGACGACGTCTTGGGAACCATATATCTGTTCAAACACTTGGATCAGCTCTGCATTCATTTCTATGGACCAAAACTACATTTTGTGTATGAGTTGATAACCGAGACTCTGGCCGATCGGCACCGAGTGTTCCGATTGGGTCTTTTGCACGATGAAAGGGATCAACTCTTGAGAGAAATGGCAGAAATGTCTGTTCAGATACCGAGATATTTGCGGATCAATGGTTGCGGAGCCGATGGTCTGCATATATTCAATCATTAAGCCATTCAGACATACAATCACAACAACTTTCAGCACTTTTTTTTATGACTAAATCTAATTAATAATTGAAATTTTTCAAAAAAATTTGTTGTAAAATAAATATATGAAAGTTTGAAGCAAAATATGTTAAACCAATGCTAATCTGAATTAAACTATTATCAACTAAAATATTACTAAACAAAACTATTACTAAACACACTACACAACTGTGCTTTTATTACTTTTCACTACTGTAAATTTTTCAACATGATTAATTTAATGATTTCAAATTGGTAAACTATAACTTATTACTTATAAATAATTTAGGATATTTTAAACATACGGTAAAAATGATTAGCCAGAAAAATATGTGCAATAAAACTTTACAAATAAAATTAAAAAAACATACGTCAATAACTTGGTCTACACAACACACATCTGGTTCGTTGGTCTAGGGGTATGATTCTCGCTTAGGGTGCGAGAGGTCCCGGGTTCAAATCCCGGACGAGCCCAAGCTTTTTGCATTTAATTTGTTTGTGTGAGCAGTGAATGTAAACATTAAAAATAATTAAACTAATTATAACATGTTAGGTGTTTGTGTTTATATTACTGATTAGATTCGGGAATTAAAATAAACAAGTTACTTTGCTATAAAAATATTATTTAGTAATTAAAAATAGGTGTAATATGGAAAGAATATAATTTAAATAAAATAAATGATGATATATTTGATGTTTGGATCAATAAGTTTATGCTCTTTCGTAATAAATGATATGTAAATTATCTTTATATTAATTTATAGAAATAAAACAAAATGTAATAACAATTTAAATAACAGCAAAGTTGTGATAATTGGCAGGCAATGGCTTAACGTCTATATACTTAATCTCTTCTTCTCTTTCAATCTTAAGATGCAATGTCTGGTCAGCGGTGGTCAGGCTTTGCAGCACTTCCTCCAATTGGGTCAACGATTTGATAGCAATGCCATTGATTTCCTCAATCATATCATACATATGTAAATCATTTCTACGATTATATGAAAATAGTTTATCACATGATTTTAAAATAAAGTCAATCAATAATATGAAAATGTAATCCAAGACTAACTCCGAGACATCGAGGGGACGATTGATGGCCGAAGACATCACCCAAAATGTATTTAAAACGTGAGTTATTTTTAATCCATAACATACATGTATTTTGCCGGCCATTGAGTACTTCTCTCTCATTGTCTTCATCTCAAACTCCTTTGCGTTTTTCAAAACCACTTTTATATAACAAGTTTTAAAAATATAAAATTAATTAGTTTTCAAATACAATGTTATTACATTCTCCCACCCGTTGCCCACTACCAGCCCATTGGCTGACATACCGATGGCATCGGTGGCCAGTAGACCGGATCGTACACAAACCGACCCAGAGTTATGTATACCGACGACAGCGCCCTTACCATCGAGTATAGGACTACCGGAGAAGCCCCGAGTGGCCGGTGCCAAGTGCTCCACATGTCGGCACATTGAATAAGCACCCGTACAACAAGTATTATAGTCCATATCGTTGAACCAGATTAACCGGTCTGACCCTAACATCTCGCCCACAGCCACACTCAACGCGAGGTCGGGATATCCAAACACCAGTACCGGTTCGCCGGCTTTCAGTTCCCGGCGATCAGACAATACAAGTGCCGGCAATGAGTCCTCTTTTGCGTAAACACGAATGACCGCCAAATCTTTATCGGGCTGACAGTACACCACTTGACCCGGTATAACATCCAGCCATCGTCTTTGGTTGATAGGGATGACTTGTGTGACGTCTACCCGTGCCGTGAACTTAACGTTCACGTACTGCCAGTCCTGAACCACATGAGAGTTAGTTATGATGAGTCCAGACTTGTCCACAACAAATCCTGTGCCACACTTTCCATGAGTTGTGTAAATCAGTGCCACTGATGACACCGACTGATTACATACTTGTCTCATCTGTACCGTTGCCAACGGATCCAACAAATGAGCGATTCTTGTTGTTATCAATAGTTTGAATATATTGTCTGCCAAAGAGTTTGTGTGACTTTTGGTGGTATTGTTGTGACGGATGTATTCATACCAATCATTACCCGCTATTATAGCCGGTATTGACGCCACTAATGGGACACTGATTTCGGGAATAAATATTAGATTTATTTTAATTTAATTATTATTTTCTTTGTGTAAAACCAAACCTTGTCCTGTATTTAACTAATAAAGTATACAATCGATACATATTTTCAATCAGATTATATATTCAACAGAAAAACATATTTAAATGATTTAGGCTTTAATTGATAAAACAGTTATAAATCAACCATTTGTATTTAATTTAAACATTTAAACAATGTAAAGATCTAATTGTACTTAACTAGCGGCTAGTATTAAATGCAAGTGTTTTTATTTATAACTTAACCCTGTTTAGATTTGCAAATCAAATGAAAAAGATAATTTTGTTATAAAAATATGATTTATAAATTACTAATTAAAAATATATCTAAAATAACAAATAAGTATAATTTAAATAAATTTTATAATTAGATAATTGAGTTTTATATCAATAATCTTAAGTACTCTTTAGTAATATATAAAATTTAATTAATTCTAATTTATAAAACAAATGTAATAAAGATTTAAATAACAGAAAAATTCTGATAATTTGCAAGCAATGGCTTAACGTCTATATTCTTAATCTTTCCCATTCGGTCCACTCTAAGTTGTAACGACTGGTCATCCCTAAGACTTTGCAACTCTTCCTCCAATTGGGCGAACGACTCAAGAGGTTTGCCATTAATTTCTTCAATACAATCGTTAATTTGTAAATCATTTCTATAATCAATTAAAAAATAAGTAATTATATGTTTTAAAACCAAAGTCAATCATTAATATGGAAGTGTAATCCAAGACTAACTCCGAGACATTGAGGGGACGATTGATAGCCGAAGACATCACCCAAAATGTATTCGTCATCTTATTTATCTTCACTCCAAGAGATCTCTTGCCGGCCATTGAGTACTTCTCTCTCATTGTCTTCATCTCAAACTCCTTTGCGTTTTGCAAAACCACTTTATATAACAATAAAGTATAAGAAAACAAATGTAATAATTAATGAATACAATCACATTCTCCCACCCGTTGCCCACTAATAGCTCATTGACTGACATACCGATGGCATCGGTGGCCAGTGGTCCACTTCCCGTAAAAACGGATCCAGCGTTATGTATACCGACGACAGCGCCCTTACCATCGAGTATAGGACCGCCGGAGAAGCCTTGGGTGGCCGCTGCCAAGTGCTCCACGTGTCGGCCTAATAGGTTAGCGTTTATCATAGGAAAATCACTGCCCATATCACCGCCCATGGTCGACCGGTCAGATCCTAACAACTCGCCCACAGCCACACTCAATGATAGGTCGGGAAAACCAAAAACCAGTACCGGTTCGCCGGCATTTAGTGGCCGGCGATCAGACAATACAAGTGCCGGCAATGAGTCCTCCTTCACGTACACCCGAATGACCGCCAGATCCTTATCGGGCTGACAGTACACCACTCGACCCATTATGACATCAACTGTGCCCTGTGTTTGTTGGTGTGGATACAGGCGATTGGCCTCTATGGGTACGGTCAGCAAAACGCCCACATTGTGCCAGTCCTCAACCACGTGACAGTTGGTTATAATGAGTCCAATATGACATCAACTGTGCCCTGTGTTTGTTGGTGTGGATATAGGCGATTGGCCTCTATGGGTACGGTCAGCAAAACGCCCACATTGTGCCAGTCCTCAACCACGTGACAGTTGGTTATAATGAGTCCAGACTTGTCGGCAATAAATCCGGTGCCACTGCCTTCAACTTCTGTAAAAACCATTACCAGTGATGACAGCGTTTGACTGCAAACTTGTCTCATTTGATTCCTCGCCAATGGATCCAATAAATGAGCGATTCTTGGAGTTATCAATCGTTTAGATGTATTGTTTGCCAAATAGTTTGTATGACTTTTAATGGTATTATTGCTGTAATTGATGTTTTTGTACCAATGATTACCCGCTATTATAACGGGTATTGACGTTACAAATGGGGCACTAATTTGAAATACAATTAATTTGCCAAATAGTTTGTGTGACTTTTAATGGTATTATTGCTGTAATTGATGTTTTTGTACCAATGATTACCCGCTATTATAACGGGTATTGACGTTACAAATGGGGCACTAATTTGAAATACAATTAAATTTAGATATTTAACAAATTTCGATAAGAAATGTAAACCTTTTTCTGTATTTCGTTAATAAACGGTTCAATCGATACATATTTTGGATGATATTAAACATTGTTTTCAACTAAAAAAGATATTAAAATCATAAAACAGTTATAATAATAAAAATTAGTTAAATTGTGTTTTATTCAAATAATTTATGGCATTATATATCACGTGTGGCATTGAATTATTAATTATTATTAACCAATATCAATCATTTATTTATTTGGTCATTAATTATGAATTATAAATTGCATGTAATTATAAAAATATATTTCAGACACAAAGTATTGGATTTGTTTTATATTTTAATTGAATTATATATTTTGCATAAAACCAAACCTTTTCAACCAATTCGCTATAATTTGCAAATAAAAAACTTAATTAATACATAATATGTATTATATTATAATATTTGCGACCAAATAAAACAATATTTTTAACACAAATATTAAATTCATATTAATTTTCAATCAAGTTGTTTTTAAATTAGTTACTTGAGTAATGCATTGCTATTAATATGAAAATTTAATCATAAAATCATTGTAATCATAAAAAATATTATATTAGTTTGAAACCAATAATAAATATTAACTTTTTTGCACTAACTTTTAGCACTAAATCTTATGACAGTATATATGTGAAATAAATTACCGATTAATAATAAATAACATAAAATTTAATTAACTTTTATATAAATGAAATAACAATTTAAATAATGGAAAAGTTGTGATAATTTTGAGGCAATGGCTTGACGTCTATAGTTGTAAATAATCCATCCCTGTCGACCGCAACATTTAACGACTGGTCATCCCTAAGGCTTTGCAACTCTTCCTCCAATTGAGTGAACGACTCGAGAGGTTTGCCATTAATTTCCGTAATTTCATCATTAAAATGGAAATCATTTCTACAATTACATATGTATATAAAAAAAAGTTTATCACATGTTTTAAAGACAAAGTCAATCATTAATAGGAAAATGTAATCCAAGACTAACTCCGAGACATTGAGGGGACGATTGATAGCCGAAGACATCACACGAAATGTAATTATGTCTAATTTTAAAGTCACTCCAAGAGATCTCTTGCCGGCCATTGAGTACTCGTCTCTCATTGTTTTCAACTCAAACTCCTTTGCGTTTTTCAAAACCACTTTATATAACAATAAAGTATAAGAAACCAAATGTAATAATCAGTCAATACAATGACATTCTCCCACTCTTTCCCCACTAACAGTTCATTGGCTGACATACCGATGGCATCGGTGGCCAGTGGACCACTTTGTGTAGCAATAGATCCAGAGTTAGTTATACCGACGACAGCGCCCTTAGCATCGAGTATAGGACCGCCAGAGAAGCCTTGTGTTGCCGGTGCCAAGTGCTCCACATGTCGGCCCATTACTTGAGCGTTTTTTACAGCACCGTAATAGTTATAATCATCGTGAATGGTCGGCCGGTCCGACTCTAACATCTCGCCCACAGCCACACTCCAGGAATTGTCGGGATAACCGAACAGCAGTACCGGTTCGCCTGCTTTCAGCTCCTGGCGATCAGACAATACAAGTGCTGACAATGAGTTCTCCTTCACGTACACCCGAATGACCGCCAGATCCTTATCGGGCTGACAGTACACCACTCGACCCGGTATTTCATTAATCGGACCAGTATTTTGTCGGTTCGGGTAAAGATTATCCATTCCTATGGATACCTCCAGCTTAATGCGGACGTTCTTCCAGTCCTCCACCACGTGAGCGTTGGTTATAATGAGTCCACACTTGTCGGCAACAAATCCAGTGCCACATCCATTGGTTGTGCAAACCATTACCACTGATGGCAGCGACTGATTACATACTTGTATCATCTGTACCGTTGCCAACGGATCCAATAAATGAGCGATTCTTGTAGTTATCAATGGTTTGAATGAAGAGTTTGTGTGACTTTTGGTGGTATTGTTGTGACGGATGTATTCATACCAATCATTACCCGCTATTA